AGCAAATACAAAACAAAAATCTCTGATTTGATTGGTGAAAAAAATCAAAAATGCCGGCTACCTTTATTTCCCAGGATATCTCCTGACATATATTTTAGTCTGGGTTGACCTGCAAGTCGAGTTCAATTTCTTTCCAAATCTGCCCAGCATGGATTTGAACAAAGGATTTCAGACCACCAGGCGAGCAATTAGCCACTAGAGTACTGCGGCTAGTTGTGCTCAATATACTGAAAATGATTTATGCAAATGTATTTACAATTCTCAAAATTTGCATTCTTATTTACAAGCGTAAATAAAAGGAAAAAAAACCATGTAAAAGTGATCCATGTAACATCGACCCGTGTAACAGGTGACCTGTTAACACCAATCCCTGTAACACTGACCCATGCCACACTAATCCATGTAACTGACTGACAAATGACAAGATGGTTTCACATAATTTAACGTTTAAAAAATAATTCACATCTCCGGCAGATCATAATATATAAATTAGAAAATGATATCTGTAAATACTAGATACGTCTGAAACAGAAAACCCCCTGTGTAACTTATACAGTACACTGACACCTCCAAATGTAAGCTAGATAAGAAATTTACATATCTCTATGACAGATAAATCAGAATGTAACATATCTCTATGTAAGATAAAAAAGAATGTAACATATCTCTTTGTAAGATAAATCAGAACATAACATATCTCTTTGTAAGATAAATCAGAACGTAACATATCTCTTTGTAAGATAAATCATAACGTAACATATCTCTATGTAAGATAAATCAGAACGTAATATATCTCTTTGTGAGAGACATTAAAACATGTCACCAGCAGAAATAAATCAGAAAATGACATCACAGTTATGTAAGAAAGCAGAAAACGACACTTCCCCATGCAAGATACATCAGAAATGTTACACTTATCCACCTCATTTAAGACATAGGAAAATGACACCTCCCCATATTAGATAATATCAGAAATGTTAAATTAGAATGTTCCATATCAGACACTGGACACTTACACCTCTGTCTACGAAAAATTAGAAATTTTACATTTCTCCATCTCATATAAGATACAGGAAAATGATACCTCTCCAAATAAAATATATCAGCAATTTTACATTTCTCCATCTCATGTGAGACATTAGAAATTTATACTTCTCTGTGTAAAATGCAATAGAAATTTCACACTTCTCTTTGTAATGAAACCACAGCAACTGACCACCCCCGCCCCCCGGTGAGATATTTCCAAAATGGGCATTTCTAGGAATAAAACACTAGGAAATTGTATACTGCCATGCAAGACATTATAAACTGACATTTGCTTATGTAAGATATATTAGAAATTTAAATTTCTCCATGCAAAACATTTGAGACTAACATTTCCTAGTATATAATATATCAGAGATTAACAATTCTCAATGCAAGAAATTTGAAATCGACACTTCCTTATGTAACATACATAGAGAATTGTCATTTCTCCAAAGCAAGACAGAAAGTGATAACATCCGAGTGTAAGAATATACACTGAAAATTGATATACATGTATCACATACATCTTCCATTGTATGATGTATCACAATGTGATACCTCAGGCTAGGTATTAAACACTGACATCTTTCCATGTAAGATATTTGAACTGACACAACTTTATGTAAGGTTGTCAATAAGTGACATTTCTCAAAACCAAACATTAAAATATGACACTACCCTATGGTATTATCAATCGTCATAATTTCTACACCATATGCAATACTAACAGAAATAGGCACGCCCACATTTTTTTTCTTCTCTTCTGAAAATAAAGGTTCTTCTGCTTAAAGTTGACGCTGTATGGTGATGGTAGTCATGTCTATCCACAACCTTCTGTCTTGTGTACTTTCAATCAACTCTGACACAGATAATCTTCCATAGTCAATGTCGTGTGGCCCTGGTAGTCATGTCTATCTCCAACCTTCTGTCGTGTACTTTCAATCAACTCAGATGACCCTCCATGCCATGATGTCAAACTGTCCAGCATCTTTTCTCTCAGTCTCCCTCTGCCTCTCCTCCACTCTAAAGGTACTCATCACACAAAATCTTTAACAAAAGAAAGTGACTGCACTCACCATAAAGTATCTACTGCACTACTCTTGACAAAAAAAAGGTGTATAGAAAAGGGTGCCAGTACTGCATACTGTCCACACACACAAAATGGGCACGCCCCACATGATGCTTTTATAATTTGATCTCATGAAAAACATAAATATACAATCTTGGTGAAACTATTCAGAGATGTGAAACTAAGATATGCTTCTCCCTCCTTCTGCCCTTAATCTCCCAACGCACCAACCAATTCAAGTCAAGCCTTTTGTAAACTTATCCATGTCTCATGGAATTTGTTCTTAGGTTGCAGAAGCTGTTCCCACAGACAGCTGCCCTCAGATGCCTCTTAAGACATGCATGGTAGATTCCAGTGTATCTATTATCTGATTTCCTCATCAAACAGAATGCTTGACAACACAACAGAGCAGGGAGGGGAGGTAGAACTGGAAGAAAATGCTTTCTTCTTCTTCTCTCTCTAGTCCTGTGATGCCTTTCAGCATCAGGTTTCGAAGCGGCAACAGGTGCCAGCCTTGGTTAAGGACAGAGGTTCTCAACCTTTCTAAAGCCGCGACCCTTCAATACAGTTCCTCATGTTGTGGTTGACCCACCAGCCATAAAATTATTTTCGTTGCTACTTCAAAACTTTAATTAATATTTCTTTTGCGATGGTCTTTGGCAATGTAGATGCTGGTATTTGCAGCCTGAGATAATTTCATCTATCCATTGCTTGCATGGTCAACCTCCAGTTTTGATTCCAATATGTCTTGCACTATCTGGTGGTAGTCTTGACAAATGTCCAAACCATTTCCTCTGCTGTCTCTTGATATAGTTTAGTACAGGATTCATCCTTTCCTGATATCATCATTCCTGAACCTCTCTTTTCTAGATATATTTAGGATTCATCATTGATTAATTCTTCTTCCTCGCTTTATACCCCAGCAGAGCATAGGATCTCAACCAACTCATGCCAAAAAATCTTATCCTTTGCTTCTGTTTGCATCCTACCCCATGTCCTCCCAAATCTCTGTAATTCCACTCTCTTACTCCATTCTGACAATTAATTTACTTAAACTCCTACATTTTCAGCCATGTCTACATCTTCTGTAAATGAAGCAAAATAAAGCAGCTGTATACACACAGCACTCTATAAAAGGTAATCGGTCATCCTTTAAATATGATCAGGTTTAAACCTTTTACGTGTGGGTTCCGGAGCCCCACCGTGGCAAAAACAAGAACAGGACTAACTAGTCTTCAGGCGTAGAAGGTATATAGGGCTTGACCAAAATTTTACAGACCAAATAACACTTTCTGGGTGATGTGGTCAGCATCATGCCGGCCACCACTGCTTCCCAGGAATGTACCGGGTACCCACACCAGGATCCAAGGCCATTTTTGAAAAAAATTCCAGACCTGTCAGAACCTGAACCCACGACCTTCAGATCTGCAGGCAAACGTCTAGTCGCTAGACCACGGCGGCTCCTAGACTTGACCCACCGCCTACCCAAAAGCTTATCGCAGGAGTCGAATAATTGAGGCTTTCTTCGAAGTCAGAGAGTATCTGCCTGAGAGGCCAGCAACCAATAATCTGTACACAATTAAATAATATCCGTTAAACGAATGTGCATGCAATACTCAGGTTCTGGAAGATGACTAAAAGTCCAGAGGAGGATAAATAACCAGAACTTTCCGACTAGAGTTTACAGCCAGTGAATGCGAAAAAGAAACATAGAGGCAGCCAGTGAAGGCTCCGGGGCTCCATTGTTGAAGGAAAAAGTATAGACCTACTGTGCCCCAATAAGCGTGTCATGCAAGGCAACTAATTAAGGCTGCTTCCTTCAAAGTCGAAATTAATCTGCACAAGAGGCACACAAAAAGAAAAACAGTTTCCATACAAATAAGCCAGACAATGTACAATAAAACTCAAGTTTTGGAATAATATTAAATTCCAGAAATGCACAAGCAACCTGAATGTTCCATTGAAGTTTACAGCTAGTGAACGCTAAGAAGATGAAGAAGAAATAGAGCCCTGCTGTTACTATTTGTTATTACTGTTGTCCACTTGACCATAATAAGTTAACAAAAAAAACTCAAAACAACAGTAAAAAGAACTTCATGTCAAAAGAGGTGTCACTAAACACAAACACTATACATGTAGTCAAAAAAGAATAGTAAACTAACACAAAACTGGTGATATCAGTCGCCATATACTGAGGGATATACTAAAGATGGAATCCGAGCGCTTATGGACTTGTCCAATGTGCAGTTACAATCTGTCAATAAACTAAATACGAGCGCTTATGGACTTGTCCAATGTGCAGTGACAATCTGTCAATAAACTAAATACCAGCGCTTATGGACTTGTCCAATGTGCAGTGACAATCTGTCAATAAACTAAATACGAGCGCTTATGGATTTGTCCAATGTGCAGTGACAATCTGTCAATTAACTAAATACGAGCGCGTTTGGACTTGTCCAATGTGCAGTGACAATTTGTCAATTAACTAAATACGAGCGCGTTTGGACTTGTCCAATGTGCAGTGACAATTTGTCAATTAACTAAATACGAGCGCGTTTGGACTTGTCCAATGTGTAGTGACAATCTGTCAATTAACTAAATACGAGCGCTTATGGACTTGTCCAATGTGCAGTGACAATTTGTCAATTAACTAAATACGAGCGCGTTTGGACTTGTCCAATGTGCAGTGACAATTTGTCAATTAACTAAATATGAGCGCGTTTGGACTTGTCCAATGTGTAGTGACAATCTGTCAATTAACTAAATAACTGTTTATATGATAATTTATTGGCAGCTTCTGACTCAAGAATACAATACACAGATATATCTTTGAAATCATTTTTACGACTGATGCAATAATTTACAGACATACCTTTGAAATTACTTTTACGACTGATGCATTAATTTATTTCCCGTCTTTTCCTTTGTTCCATTTCAAGAGAGCCTTTGTAAAATTCTTGCACGCCGCAGGGACAGACCCTGGTTCACGTTGTCGCACAATGCATCGCTGAATGTAATTATACGTGTTCGCAATTGTTTCTGGGTACTCCATGTTGAAAACCCAGTAACTGGAGTACAGCGAAGCAAATGCGATTGTAAATTCTTCAAATTCCTGGACAATTGTGTTTTCTGCAATCAGGAAGAATTCGTCAGTACGAAAAATATTTCCACGAGCCACTAACGTTGGAACGATTTTTCCCTGTGGAACCACTTCTTCATCTTCTTCAATCTCAAGAACCATTTCCACAAAATTCTCATCAAAATGAAGAGGAAGTAAGCAAAGAGCCGTAACCATATCCCAGTATTGCCGTAGTGTATCGTTCTCCTGTTTAGCCTGCTCCCAACGAGCCAGCACAGGTGCTGAACCCTTCTTGTTCCTTGCCATTTCAATGACAGCCGTGGCATAGCGGACGCAGAACTCTTGAATTTTTTGGTCAATGTCGATTTTTGTGATACGCTGGAACTCCAGCAGGAGCTGTTTGCCAGTAAACAGATCTGGGTATAATTCCTGCAGCTCTGGGATGGACGGCATCTGCTTGGTGATGATCTTTCTCCTCTGTTCAAAGGTCTTGTCCATGTGGTCTAAGACCTGCTCAGGAGTTCTGCCCCCATTTTTGCTGGTGCTAGCAGCCACCTTGGCTTTCTTCTCTGGTTCCTCCCCATACTCCAACTCAGTTTTGCTGTTGCTTGATTTTGCATCTGTCAAAGTTTTGCTGGATGAAGCATTTGCATCTTCAAGGTTTGGTTTCATTGCAGTATTTTGAGATCCTGTAGCGGAGGCTTCCACTGGCTCCACAGCAGACTCCGCAGGCTTACAGGCATCTGCAACGCTCAACTCCGACGTCAGTTGCGATGACAGAGACAAAGCATTGCTATTTGGTACATTTGATGCACTTTCACTTGTCTTTTTCACCTCCTTGCTATCAGATAATGGCAAAGCTGTTGAATTTTCTGATGAAGCACCACTAGAAGATGCTTTTGCTTCCACAAGATTATCTACTCCATCAGAAAGGCTTGAAGCATCCTTTGGAATGTTCTCCACAGAGTTTTCTGAAGACAAGGTTAAAGTATTGTCCTTCTTTAGCAAGTCATGTGAAGAGACTGAGTTCACAACCTTACTGTCTGCACATGGAAGTTCAGAAACACCACTACCTGTTGGTCTTGACTCCATTACCACTTTGGAGTCAACATTTTTTGCTCCTGGCCCTGAAGTGCTGTTTGCTACTTCAGCTTTCACGGAAGACTGACCCTGTTGGTTCTGCTCACTGGGCATCTCAGAACTGGACACTTCTGCATGTGGGCGTTTGGTAGCCTGGCGTACAACCACAGGAGCGCTGACACTGCTAGCCATGACTGACATGTAGTCCGATGCCGACTGCAGATTATCTCATATATTCTAGCAGAAACAGAGAAAGAAAACCACCATGAAAAACCACTTCTGGCAACAACAAAATAATATTTTCAATGTACATCCTGTTTATTCTTCTTTTTCTTAGCGTTTACCAGCTGTAAACTCAGATGAAATGTTCTGGCTGCTTATCCACTTCTGAACTTTGCTCTTGTTCCCATCCGTTTTACAGATCTCGCTTACCTGTATGCAGACTGTTGGTTCCTTGCTTCTATGGCAGATGCACTCTGACTTCGAAGGGCTTACTTACTCGATCCTCTCCTACCTTGTGTTGTAGAATTTTGCCTGAGAGATTGCCAGACTTCTCTGTCAAGCATTTTTAAAAAAAAAAAAATTTTTATGGCTTTATTCCATTTGAGTCCTCTGTCAGTCAGAGACTGTCGGATGTTGCCTTCCCAGCGAATGCTAGGTCGCCCTGGCAGACTGGCTCTCTGGTTCTTGGTCAACTATGTCTGCCATGCTGATTCTCTCCCATTCTACATTCATGTCCAAACCAATGTAACTGTGGGCCCTCACAGGAAGCAAAGAATAGTGACACTGAATCCTACCAGGATGCGTAAGAGGCGACTAAGGAGGGGTGGGGTTGGCTACCTCATCCTGTAGAAACAATAGCCACAAAAACCAACTAACCATCGATAAGTCAAAAAGAGAAGCAAGTAAAACCCAGCCAACAAAGATGAAGGAAGGTTCTTCAAGTAGAAGTATGATACAGTGTGGAGAAAGCTGAAAGGAGTCTGGCAGTTGACATACCTCCTCTCAGCTAGGAAAACCTCCAGAATTGGCACCTGGAATATTAGAACTTTCTATGATATAGGGAGAACAATGGAAGTAGTAAGGGAAATCAAACATGATTGAAATGGAATAAAGGAAGGCCAAAAAACACATGGAGCTGAAGAATGAAGTTAGAAAGATAGGGAGGACATGAAGAGCTCCATGTAATAGCGAAGGATAGAACGACTTGGCATGAGTTGGCCGAGGGCCCATCCTGTAAATCTTTTTCATATTGTGGATGGAATCCAGTCTCCCTGTGCGGTTTCCGGGTCCCCGTTGTGGGGAAAGCAACAAGCATGTCATAAGAGTCGACTAATTGGGAGCTTTCTTAGAAGTCGGAGACAAGGAACCAACAGTCTGCATACAAATAAGTCAGATCTGTAAAATGGATGTGAACACAACACTCAGGTTCTGAAATAAGTCTAAAGTCCAGAGGTGGATAAATAACCAGAACTTTCCGCTAGAGTTTACAGTCAGAGAACGCGAAGAAAAAGGAGAATCCAGTCCAGTCCCTTTCACTATTCTCATCAATGTTCATTTTACAGTTTCTTTTGGACATCCCTCATCAATGTTCATTTTACAGTTTCTTTTGGAATCCCTCATCAATGTTCATTTTACAGTTTCTTTTGGACATCCCTCATCAATGTTCATTTTACAGTTTCTTTTGGACATCCCTCATCAATGTTCATTTTACAGTTTCTTTTGGACATCCCTCATCAATGTTCATTTTACAGTTTCTTTTGGAATCCCTCATCAATGTTCATTTTACAGTTTCTTTTGGACATCCCTCATCAATGTTCATTTTACAGTTTCTTTTGGACATCCCTCATCAATGTTCATTTTACAGTTTCTTTTGGACATTCCCTCTTCCTCAGTTCTTTCATTTCCCATGGTAGTGCCTGTCTGGTGACTGTCTGCTTGTTTCTCCTCAGGATTTATCTACAATAGCGCCATCTTTTTTTTCCTCTACTGTTGTTACCAGCGGTGAAGCATAAAATTAGTACTAGAAAATTATCTGGGAAGTAAAGGCAGTGACATGATATTGACCCTATCACCTGCCAAGTGCTGACTGTTTCAAGAATGAGGCTGGCAATGTATACCTAATACACGCTTATGACATGAAAAGGCACACACATCGATACAAAATGTTGGAGAACGCAAGATGTGCAGATGTATAATCACCCACACCAGGTGAAAAGCAATTTATCACAAACAACAAAAGTAAAAGATATTTCTTTCACGTCTTCAGGCATATTAGGCATATAGGGTTAGACAATCGGCACCCTGTGGGTGACACGGTCAACATCACGCCTGCTGTCTTTATTTCCCAGGACTTCACCTGGTACCCATTTAAAGAAAAATTGACCTGGCAGCCAAGGTCACTTCTGATAAAAGTCTGGCTTTATTCAGATTTATACCCATGACTTTCGGATCCACAAACATCTAGCCACCACATCATGGCAGCTTCGAAACAATAAGGGGAGAAAAACAGTTTTCTTTCAAATACAAAATCAGGACTGGAAGATTTTACTGAATTTTGTGTCTGTTTGTTAATGTTAACTTTGCTAACAGTATCTAGTAATAATACTGGTAAATTAAGTAAATATAGGTTTTTCACAAATTCCATAAAGGTGTAGCCTTGGTCTTCAGAATCATCCATGACTATTATACCATATCAATTTTTTTATCCTCCTGTAACCAATAATGACTTTTTTCTTATTTAGCCAATATTATTTTTGGTATAAAGACTAAGCACTTGTCGTTACGTCTGTAGTACTGTGGGAATAAGATTTTCACCCGTCACGTATATAACATTAAAGAAATCTACTAACAATGCATGCTCCCTACAATTTTTGTCCAGTCAAAAATTATGACAATGGCGGACAATACTAAAAAAAGATAAACATGGATTTTTCAATGATCTATGCAGAAAATATAATTCTATGAAATATTAGACAGCTTTTAAATCGATACACTAATACATTCAAACATTTATACAACATGCATCAGTGCACCTAAAAAAATGCTGAATTTTATAGGGATTTGGCTGCGCTAGTAGGGCCCATCCTCCATCATTAGGGAAGGTTCTGCGGCCGGCTAACGAAGTCGTGTATGTACTAAATAATTACAGCCAGCTCTGTCTCGCTTGACTTGACATGCAGTTATACTTAAGTAAATAACTAGACAAAAATGACTGATCGCTAGTGCAAATATTACCTCTGAGCATAACAAGACGGTGACGAAGGAGGGAAAACTTGCAACAGGTCGGTAGTTGCTCGAATCCACGGACCTTCTGCTTGGACCCAGCCAGGGGACTGTTCGTTGTCGGTCTAAGTATGTACAGTAAACAATTTGGTTGTTTTCTCCTGCAATTTGATTTTGATCATTGTAATTTAAATATGAAATAATTATTTAATTTTTAAATTATAATTAACCTAAAAATAGGATTTGTATAATAGTTTGAATAAGGGTAATGTGTATTTTCTTTTTAAATAGTAGTAATCAAGTGTACGAAAGCGGTGTAGTGCCCGTATGGACTGCCATAGGCGCAGTTCGATTTTGACAGGACAGACAGGTCCTTCCGCGTTTTGACATAGCTAATTGTGTCTGGGACATCTCATTCTAGACGGCTGGCATTTTAGTCTCAATAAACTCAAACATTTATAAAACTAGCAGAAAAGATGACATTTTTATTATCAAAAATCAACGAACACTAATTATATTTTCCGTATATATATATATATATATATATATATATATATATATATATATATATATATATATATATATATATATATATATATATATATATACTGTGTGAAGCATGAAGAAGTAATCAAACTGATAGAAAAATTAAACATTGATGGGAAAGATCTACGAATAATAAAGAATATATAATGGCAGCAAACAGCAGCTATAAGAATTAACAACTGTTTAGGTACATTTCAAAGCATAAAGAGGGGCGTACGACAAGGATGTGTACTGTCACCTGATTTGTTTTCAATATACAGTGAATATATAATGAGAGCTTTAATTGGTCTGCCAGGAATTGTGGTTGGTGGGCACAATATAAACAATTTACGTTATGCTGATGACACAGTCTTGATAGCAACAAGTCAGAAAGAACTACAGGAAATGATAGACAGTGTGGTGTTGGAAAGTGGAAGAATGGCCTCAGTTTGAATAATGGGAAGACAGAAGTAATGGTGGTATTAAAGAAACGAATTATTCCTAAGTGTGTAATAAAAGACGATGGTGTTATTTTGGGACAAGTACAGAAATTTAAGTATCTGGGCACATGGATAACATCAGATGTAAGATGCATTATTGAGATAAGAAACAGAATGGCACCGGCAAAAACTGCATTTTATAAAATGAAGAACATCTTATGCAATATCTTTGTCATTGAGAGTTAGAAAAATAATTCTTGCTTGCTACATACATCCAGTTTTAACATATAGATGTGAGTCTTGGACAATCGGTAGGCAGACCAAACAATTTCTTGAGGCCTCAGAGATGTGGTTTTACAGAAGAATGCTTAAAATACCTTGGGCAGCCAAGAAGAGAAACCAAGAAGTTTTGAAAGAGGCGGGAGCCCAAAGACAACTAATTAAAGACATCAAAAAGGAGAACATGTTGTGACCACTGTACAGATTTGTGGAAGGAGGGATAGAGGAAGACAACGAGAGAAGATTCTTGAGGCTTGTTGCATGGCATGGAGGTGTATCAGCACACGAATTGATACATGCTGCAGGATATCACAGATTGTGGAGAGGCATGATCGCTCACGCCAGTCGACAAGGCACCTGATGACGATAACATATATATCATCATCATTATGCGCCCTGCCAACTAGCATAGGCGCTCATGCGTCTCCACAGATCACGATCCCTAGTTACCTGGAACAGCTCTCTTGATGATATCCAAAACATAAAAGTGTCACTAAATCTAAACTTATACACATAAAATAAAAAATAAAATAAAAACATCATACTAAACCAAAAATTAAAGAAATTAGTAGTTTAAGCAAATACAACATAGAACTCTAAAAACAAAAACCTAATACAGACTCAGCATTTGCTGAAACAATACAATTTCAAATGCTAAAACTCAAACCAAATATAAACTGTCTAAAGCAAAACCAGTATAACCAAACGCAATACAAATGCAGTGACTAATCAAATAGAGATCATGCCTAATACAAACCAAAAACCTGCACCAATGCAATATGACTCCAATCCAAAGCTAATATAAATCAAAAGTCTAAATACAGTATGAATCTCTAAACTCAAACAAACCAAATATGTAACACAAAACAATATGAGACTGAACTAAACCTACACAAATCAAACCAGAATGTCTAAAGTACTCTAAAGCAATACAGTGTAAACCTAAAAAATCTGGCCAAGTAAACCAGTACAATAAACAGTCTAAACTAAACCTTATACAAACTAGAATGTTTACCAATACAGTCTAAAAATATAAAACAAACGAAATGTCTAATGCAACACAATATAAAAGTCCAAACCAAGCCTAATGTGTTGTCCATCAAGATGATGATGACCGCTCTTCTTCATCAAGTATGAGTACGAAGATGACCGATGAGGCCGATGCGGGCCCGAAAAGTTCTTGGACAGTGAGGACAGGGAATGAACGTTGTGCCATAGAGGGAATCTCCTGCAGTCGCCTTTATGTCCATCCTTTTAAGTCTTGCTGTTCTGTTTGTTTCAAATGTAGCCCATGTATAGAGCTGCACGCCATGCATTTCGATCTTGAGAGGCAGCCTCCCAATTGGTGTCATTCACCCCAAATGCTTTGAGTGAAGACTTCAAGGTGTCCTAAAGCCTTTCTTTTGCCCGCCTTGGGAACGTTTCCCATGTTGTAGCTCACTATAGAATAGTTTTTTTTTTTTTTTTTTTTTTTTGGGGGGGGGGGGGGAGCCTGTGTTCTGGCATACGTACCACATGACCAAGCCAACGAATTGGATATTGCATCAGTAGAGTGTGGATGCTGGTCATGGCTGCTTTCTCAAGGACTACGGTATCAGGTACTTTGTCTTGCCATCTGATCTGCATTAGTTTTCTAAGGCAGACTGTGTGAAAGTGGTTTAACTTCCTAGCCTGGCGCTTGTATACAGTCCATGTTTCGCATGCGTATAGCAGTGTAGTTAATACAACTGCCCTGTATACTTTAACCCTAATACAAATCCAAACCCAATACAGACTCAGCATCTAAATCAGCAGAATATCAAATGCTAAAAGCCAAACCTAATACACACTGAATGGATTCGCCGCAATAAAATACACTAAAAAAAAAAAAAAAAAAGCCCAAAACAAACCTAATGCTAAACCAAAAAATACATATTAAACCTAAACTAATACAAACAAAAAAGAAGCTAAATTTGAGAAGTTTGCCGCTGATCCATTGACAGGGACAGTGACCTGCATCCTGTCGATACATTTGTGAAGTTGTAGGGAGATGGGATCAGACTGTTTTTTTTTTTTTTTTTAATCGTGTTGGTCCAAGAAAAAAAAATTAAAGGTTTAGGCTGTTTAACATGTTGTTGATGTGGAAGGGATTAGCAGAATCGGATACACAACAAGGGCAAGTAATAAGGATATTGAGCTCTCCTTTAAACTACGGCCGGTGGACAACAGTAGACAGGAAATGTACCATTTAATCAAAAAGATGCTATTCAGAAGTATTTCAAAGCCCATCTGTTAAAATAATACAAAATTAGGGGAAAACGGGATTTGATTTGATTTGATTCAAGAACCAACATCACAGCACTCGGGGCATTCCCATAAGCGCTCCATCCCCATCTTCAGCAGACAGCGAAGAGCTCCGATACTAATGGTGCCAGTAGCATTCTGATTAAACGTCCGTCTTGCCTTTCATCTGAGCCTCGAACATCTGCCAGAACCTCTCGTTACTCCCCGCTGAATCAATCTCACCAGACTGTGATCCATCTGCTCCTCCGAACTGTACACGCTCTCCCACAAGGTACTAACCACGTCTGCCTTTTCATGTATCAGTATTCCTCCAAGTTGTGCAGAGCCAGCCAGTCTACCCGCCTGTTCATTTCCCAACACACATGCGTTCCCCGGTGAAAAAAATCCAGACAATACTCCTCACCCCTGTCCTCCGCATCGAAGCATGCCACTTTGCACGAAGCATACCTGTTCTGATCTTTCTCAGCATGCTTTCTGAATCAGTTACAATCACGATGTGTGTGTGTGTCGTGTTCTCTAGCCAGCGGAAAGCTGCAATGACCGCCTCCACCTCCATTCTTAAGGGGGAAAAGGGGAAATCCAGTCTAATATTTCAGGGGGGTGGGATCTAGGCTGCACTTTCGTGGGACGTAGGTGGGTGGGGGTCAGTTCTAGATGTTTTGGAGTAAGCCGGGAAACCCAGTCCCACCACCCTCTAAAATGTTGGGCTCTTATATGACGTCATCTGGGTGGTAGGATATAAATAAAGCACCCCAACAACAAATACGATAGTAACAACTTCGGCAGTCCTGCATTCCCTTAGAGGAGAGACCGAAGCTCTCCGTGAAAAGAAACACTTTTGGTAATAATTTGCAGACCTGACATCGACAACCAGCTTACCAGGAAGACAAATAATTTGTCTTATTTAATTATCGGTCGAAGTTCATGTGTAAATAAATTCATCTTTAGACTGTATTCAGGCTGCATTTCCGAATTTTCGCACATTTAAAAGTATGTGCTTAGAAGGACGCTTGTAAACAGCTACTGCGTTTACGTAAACTCAGTAGAGTAGATCAGTAGAATCAATCAGCGACAATGTTGTATTGTAGTATTTGTTTGTTATTGTTTGTTAAACTGAAATTCTTAGCCCACGAAGCATCATCAGTTTGGGGTTTCATTTTTGGGCTACATCGCTGGTGATCATTGATATTTGTTACTATCGTGATTAATAACTGGGTAGAAGTAGGGCGATTCTTCTAATTAAATTAAACTTGTTCGCGTGTCAAAGATATTATTATTATATGCAGTGGTGATTACAGTTTACAGTACACTACACGACGTCGTCTAAAGACTTCAAAGATTTCTGTCCTCTCAGGAGATAATGTCACGACCACGAAATATACCAGATTATCCTGATGAGATTATTTCACTACCCATGTTTCATCCGGACATGTCTCACAGGCATCAGGCAAGCCACCCTTTGATGTTTCACTAGTTAACTGTATAACTAATTAGATGTCACTGAAGAAATAATATATAATATGGAGAATTATTGCTAGGTCTGTCAGAATATTAAAAAGTGCCTTTTTATCAAATTTTGTAAAAAATGACTTTGGGGCAGTTTTTATAAATATCCACACACAAAAAATGAACACCTAGACCACATAACAGATGCAAAGTACTTTGCTTCTTTGATGTGACGTCACTAAGAAACAAGGCAACATTTCTATGCAGTCACTAAATGCACAAATCATGAAAAGGTTTACTGTATGTAACAAACAGAACACAGAATTAACTGATTCCTTCCCTCCACCAAGCGTGGCTTTGGTACTTTTCCACAAAGAGCAATGTGACAGTTGTAAATTAGGTTTGTGGGGGTGGGTCTCTTTCAGTCCTAAGGAACACATTATGTTCATGGGTTTCGACCTAGAAGCCCAGTGCCGATTGTACTCTTTACCACCCTTTGGGCCTCTGGCTAAAGAACTCCTTGGGACTGAAAGAACTCTGTGCAGGTCCAATCAGCACTAGAACTGTTTACATGCTTAGTGACTACTGTCTAAAGACATGCCATTAAGAAAAAAAGGGTACTAATCCTGAATCCGCCCGCACAGCGAGAGTTCCTTCCCTTCCCATTTATGCTGCGGCGGGTCGCACAGTCTGTCCTATGTTGGGGGGTTTCATGTGTTTCCTATTTTCAATGGTTTAACCGCTGTTTCTTTTATTATATTATCACCGCTCGCTTGTGTGACTTGCCTAGCAGTTTGGGAGTATGGAAATTACGATGTTTTTATATTTGTACATTCCTTTGTCAGTGGCTTCTTTTTCTATAGGGACGCCACCGCCAGTGAACATAGAAATACAAAACATCCTAGTTTCGATACTCAAATGGTCGCGCTTTCCCCTTCAGCTTCTTACATGTGCACAGGCACCTGGGGCGCCTTAAAGAGACTCGCGGCAACACAACATTAATACAGTGAGTGAACGTAATATAACACCTGCACAGCATAGAGGACAGGCTGTGTGACCGCCACCGCATGAATGGGAAGGGAAGGAACTCTCATTATGTGGGCAAGTTCATGATAAGTTGCCCTAGAAAAGTAAGGGGAACAATCTCAGCAGATGTTCTGCTAATAGAGAACGAGCCCTATGGGATAAAACCTGGTGCAGTAAATTTGATTCTGTCAAATTAAAAATGTGAATCTGTTTTTGTATCGTAGGCAGAGGCTTATGTCCTACAACACAACAAAGGGGAAGGAAGCTATCTTGTGCGGCCAAATACAGACAACGACCCTTCGTATGTCAGCATCACAATCAGGTAACTGGGGCAGGGCATTTAAAAAAAAATAGCACCACAGTAAACTTGCTGTCTCCACAGTAAACTTGCTGTCTCCACAGTAAACTTGCTTTCTCCACAGTAAACTTGCTGTCTCCACAGTAAACTTGCTGTCTCCACAGTAAACTTGCTGTCTCCACAGTAAACTTGCTGTCTCCACAGTAAACTTGCTGTCTCCACAGTAAACTTGCTGTCTCCACAGTAAACTTGCTGTCTCCACAGTAAACTTGCTGTCTCCACAGTAAAGGTTGGCTAGGGGTGTACCTGCTGCTATCTTTAGGAATGTTTCTTGGTGAATACTCTTTAGACAGCAGAGAATGCTGTTTACACTTTACCAGCACTTAATCATCTCAGTGATTGATTATGGAGTGGGGTTACTCACTGTCTCGAAGAGTCAGCTAGAGAAACTGGAGCGCATACAGAATGAAACTATGCGGCTGATCCTGGGTTGTACAAGAGACACCCCGATTGTGTGCATGTAAAACATCCTTGCATTGCCGACTATTGCAGATAGGCTAAAGGTGTTGCAGACTAAGTCATACCTCAGAGTAGCTGCAGACAGGGAACATACTCTGTATGAAGCTTTGATTGTAGGCAAGGATCAGAGGCTGAAAAGGGGAAAATCGTGGATGGCTCAAGCAGAAGACACAATAAGACAAGTAGTATGCATCCTGAAGAACATTGGGCGAGGAGAGGAGTGGGTCAGAGTACCAGTGGAAAAGTCTGACCTTTGTAGGGTTATGATAACATTGTGCAGGGTGTGCAGAGAGTGGCCAGCGGGTGCTACAGAGGTTGAATTCCAACAGTTGATTCACGACAATTCATGCCCAGGTGATCTGATTATCTATACAGATGGTTTGCTGCTGATAGGAAAAAGAAATACCTCGGGGTTCTTAGCGAAAACCAGTGGAAAATCTTTAGTGCAAGACAGCCTAGCATATGACACCACAACATTTAGCATGAGAATAGAGGTGGAGGCGGTAACTGCAGCTCTCCGGTGGCTAGATAACAAGATGCCTACACATGTCGTAATTGTAATAGACTCTGAAAGCATGCTGAAAAAGGTGAAGACAGGGATGCTTCGAGCAGAGTGGCAAGCTTCACAGGAAAGGTCATGGGTGGTGAGCATACTTTGGATCTTTTTTCCAGGCCATGCTGGCATGGTTGGTAATGAACAGGCAGACAGATTGGCTGGATCCGCATAACACTGGGTGGTGCATTGAATCATGAAAAGACATATGTGGTCAAGGCCCTTCGTGAACAAGGAACGGAATCAGTAGAGAAACAAGATTATTATGGCCTGGAGAGAATGAGGCACCTGGGTGTAACCAGAGGGTCTGGCCGGCTCACTACACTCAGAGGAAAGGCAAGACAGACATTTAACCAGATTGTGACCAGTACCATCAGTATTGGAACTCTATGCTGGCTGCTGAAAATGAGGACAGAGCATGTATGGGAATGCTCCGAGTGCTGTGATGTCAATTCTTGACTCAACTCAACTCAACTCTTTAGACTTTGTAATGTTTAGATCATATATTCAGGCTACCTCTCTGAATATAGGCATATTTACAAGTCCTATAGGGAAACTTGTAAACATCTACTGCAACAGGCTCAATAAGTCAGCAACATTGTTATTGTTAAATTGAAATTCTTTGCAGACAAAGCGAAACAGTTTCCACATTTTTCTCTTCCATGGAACAAATCTCATACCATTGTACGAAAACCACAAGAATCATTTTTCTTTTTAAAAAACATCTACTGTAGAAATGAGCCCTAGTTTCTTTTTTTAAATAGTTTTTTGTTTGTTTTTTTGCACACCATCTCGGGAGCTCTATTTTGAGGTTACTTCCAGGAAATGTCCATTAGTATGGGGGTGTTGAAGTGTGAAATGAACAACTAATCCTAACTCCCCCTTAAAATATTGGACTTTCCTGGAAATTCCCGAGATGGTGTGACATAACAGAAAAGAACCAGCCATAGTACTCAGGGAACATGAAATTGTTAACAGCATTCAATAATCTCAAAGCCAAAAAGCTACACTTGTACAAACCATTGTGGGGTGGGGGGGGGGGAATAGACACACTGCCCCCACACCCCCACCCCAACAAGCATGTTGTAAAATCAGACTAATTAGGGTGGTCAGAGTGCATCTGTTTGGGCCATGAGAAACCACAGTAGACAAATAAGCCAGATCAGTAAAATGGATGTGCATGCAAAACTCGAGTTCTGGAACAAGAACCTTCCACTAGGTTACCGCTAGTGAGCACAAAGAAGAAGAAGAAGTACCACTGCGACAACACTAAGACCAGATGTCTTATATGGCTCTTAAACCTGGAGCTCAACTGAAAAGAGAGATAAAAGACCCTTTTTACGCCTTTAGAATTGGGACCTATATTTTATACAGCACAAAATGGGTGATGTTCAGCACCACACGTCCCAAGGCTGGCTGAGAGCCAAGGAATCCTCTTTATATTTTTATAGAATCTTTGGACCCACCAAAAGCAAACAAAAAATGGAGAGTGTGGTCAGCGATCACATTATCCGTTTCATTTTACATTGATCCCTAAAAGATGCTGGGGGCTGCCAAAGAGGGTCTGTGAGGCCTGAGAGCCAAGAAGATGAAGGAACTTCCAGACAGACCTCTTGTATGGCCAAATACAGAACGAACAAACAAATTGTGTTTTTTTAATATTACTGATAATCGTTTTCTCTTCTTGGGCCACTGATGATGACTCTGTGGGACCTGAAGGAGCAAACATGTCTAAAACGGGAGATGGAGAGTGAGAGACATTCAAACGATGGAAGTAGAAGAAAAAAGAAAAATCTGTTTCAGTTTAGACGCTCTGTGCAGAGTGGCAAACATCATCACTTCAGAGTTCCTGGGTAGTTAGCATCCAATTTTCTCGAGAAACAGTATGGGAAAAGCAGCAGACGGTAAATTGATGTATGACAAGCTAAATTTTGTCGTAACCCCTTTGGGAGCAAGCAAACAGTATGAAGGCACATAAATCATTATGGTCTGTGGAAAAGGAACTGCAAGGAGTGATCAGGCCGATGCTCAAGGGAAAGGCGAGGCGGATATACAATTAGGCAATTACTGGTACCATTGGAATTGGAACTCTTTGCTTGCTGCTGAAGATTGGAACCAAGCGTATGGGAGTGTCCCGAGTGCTGTAATGTCAACTCTTAATTGAACATTTTATTGATTGTTCGCCTTCTTTCTTTTTTCCCCCTAGCATTGTAGGCAACAGAACATGCAACGCTAAAGTTTTTATTGAAAACACAAATTATGGCACACGATACTTCATCTCTGACAAGCTGAAGTTTCCAACTTTTAATGCACTGTTGAGCTACTACTGTGAACATCGGATTCACTGTCGCCAGGGAATCAACGTTCGCCTGATGCTGCCACTGAGAAAGGTTTGTCAATTAATATGCCCCTTTGAATTTTAAACGCAAAGTGTGCAGTTCTGACGGTTTATTGAAAGCGCGGGGAATAGGGAGGGGGGTGGTAAAATGTACCTGTTTGGATTTTTTTCATGACAGGTGGGCAGTTCCGAATAGAAAAACAAGCACACTAGAAAAACAAGAAACATTTAATTTCCTCTTTCAGACGCTGAAAGGTTTGTAGCCGATGCTCAGGACAGGGCAGGATAGGGGAATAACTGCTAATAAAATTCATGAGTGTCACTTTCCATGGGATTTCTGGAGTCCCCGTTTTGGCCTGCCCACAGCAAGCATTTGTACATTTAACAAAACTCACCTCATCTTGCAGGGCACGAGATTTCCCAAGGCTGTGTGTTCTAGAGGTGTCATGTTTTATTTTCACCACTGTTAGCAGTGTATATTCCACTTTATGAGCATCCAGCACATTCTGTTATCCATATTGTCAGCGGTCAGCACTGTGTGCGTTACTTGCATTGTGCGTTCACTCTTTATCCCTATCACTGCGGCGTCACTTGGTGACTTGACCTTCAACTGTCAGCACCTCCTCCCTCTTCCCGATGGCTTTTTCCAGGGTCTCTTCCAAAATGTCACCATTCTCAAACTAGTGGCAATTACACAAGAAACCTAATTAACAAAGAAAATAGAACTTGTTGAACACTCAATTTTGCACGCACACACACAAAAAACAACAAAAACATTTGCTCAGTGTTGCCTGCAACGAGAGCTGCAAACTTCCGTGTCGGGCCTTGAACGAGCCAGAGCTGCTTTTCCACACACAGTGTGTATAGAGGGTGAAGGAACACATATCCTGACACCCTACAACATAGGACAATGCAAGGGAACCTTCACAGCATGATTAAGAGCCAGCATGAAATCTTGCAACCTGAAAGGGAGTGAGTTTAATGATATGTATCCAAGCATATTGTAAAAGGCAACTAATAAGGGGTTAGCAAAAGTCGGGTGTGTTTGGGCCAAAAGGGGGCAGATATCACCTCATCATCACAAACCTTGCCAACTGGCTTGGGTGATCATGCCTCTCCACAACCTGATCCCTAACTGTGTGCGTCAGTTGGTCTGCTGACACCCCTCAGCTAGGTTTCATAAAGCTGTGGATTCTGGGGCCCTGTTTTGGGAGAGGGAAAACAATGTTCATAGATGACTTTTACACTCTGTTTTTGACCAAGACAACTGTTTAAGGATTCTCTGAAATCTCAAATATTGGTCTGAACATGTTGTGACCACTGGAAAGATCTGTGAAAAGAGAACAGCGCAAAGCAGATATTGACAAAAGAAGAAAGAAGGTTGTGAATTTTTGATAGGAGCAAGCATTGTAAGATTTACTTTTTTCTCATAGATTAACCAATCTGGACAAAAGATCCCTATGAATGGTGTCGTAGAGGCGCAGCAGGCATCCTCATCAAGTTCAGGCTCAGATGAAACAATGAAAGGTAGAACTTTGGAAAACATCAGTATTCATAGATAGCTTTTTAACTTTATATTTTTGACCACATGTGTTCATAGATGACTTTTATACTTTATGTTTTTGACTAAATATTTTCATAGATGACTTTTGTACTATGTTTTTGAGCAAATGTGTTCATAGATGACTTTTGTACTTTATATTTGTAACGAAAAATTTTCACATCTAACTTATATTTTGTTTTTGACTGTACACGTTCATAGATTACTTTTTTACTTAATGTTTTTGACATATAACTTTCATGACTTTTTATGTATCAGGGATCGTGATCTGTGGAGACGCCACTTGGCAGGGCACATGATGATGGATAATGGGGCACTATTTGGACAAAAGAAAAAATTAGATTTGCTGCCCCTTGACAAGCATGTCAAAAAGACGACTATTTAAGGATTTTCTAAAATCGGGTATATTGGGGCAAATACCACAGATATTTCATCCTCTGTAAACCCCAACACAGTATTTCACAACCCCCTTATTTAAGGGTGAATGGAGAAGAATAATAATAATTTTTTTTTTAAATAAACCATTTTCCTCAGATCTTATAGCCTCATCTCTGTGGTCAAATGTTCATTCTAAATTCATCAATTGAACATGAAGCGGAGAATTCATCTCATTACTTTATTACTGTTATCATATGTTTAAGGTTGAAGTCAAGAGGATTGACTTCATTGCACTATGGCTCGGTCTCTCCGCAGAATGGCTAGTCAAACATTGCAGCTCAGGCAACAGTCCCCAGGGATCTTCATGAAAATTGCACTTGTAGACTGAAGGGCGCGAGGCAAATAGCTTGACCATTTCGCTATGGAGACCCTCTAAGCATTTGCCCCTGGAGAGAATCAAACTCATGACCTTCAGATGGCTTGAGGAGTTTGTGATTATGAGACTGATGCACTACCTGCTACGCTTGGTGACTGTCTGATCAGTGCAGGCCATATTTGTCTGCCTGTCTGTTGATCAGTTGGTTTTTTGTTAATGGCCTCACTTCATCTCTTCAGAACGCTGTGCCTAATATTTTTGTGGGGACTAAAAGTAACATTATTTCTCTATAATTCTGGCACTTCTGCAGGCAACCCTCTTGTGACAGGTTCACCAAGTATAATTCTCTCTCCGGTCTGCGGAATTTTCTTCAGTTTTCCAAGCGCAGCTAACTGATTTATTAATTTATGGTGTTAACACTGATTTTTAAAGCTTCTGCTAGGAATGTTGTTGAATTAAGAATCAACATCACAGCACTCGGGACACTCCCATAAGTGCTTAGTCCCCCATCTTCAGCAGCAAGCGAAGAGTTTCAATTCCAATGGTACCAGTAACCGTCTGATTGTATATTCATCTCACATTTTCCCTGAGTATTGAGCTTCGACCAGATTCCCTGGTAACTCCTCGCAGCGCCATTCTCCTCAGACCGTAATGATCTATCTCCCCCTCCGCACTGTTCGCTCGTTCCCAGAGGGCCCTCACAATACTTGTCATAACATGAATTCACCATCAAGTGGTGCAGAGCCAGCCAGTCTGTCTGCCTGTTCTTTTCTCAACACACCAGCATGACCTGGAGAAAATATCCAAAGGATGCTAACTACCCGGGACCTCTGAAGTGATGCTTGCCACTCTGCAAGAAGCATGCCTGTTTTCACATTTCTCAACATTCTGCTGGAATACCACCTGGACCAGTAGCTTTCTAATCCTTCAGGTGTTAGATAGCCTTTTTAATTTCTTCTTTTATACCTTTTTACCTGAGTTAAGTTCAGCTGCAAATTGTTTTTTCTTCCTGAAGAGCCATTCCTGAAATGCTTCCAACAATAGCAGGACTGCTTGTTCAGTCCTAAAGACCAACTTTAAAGAGGATGATTCAGGCTTACATGAGTGATTGAATTTTTTTTTTCTGTACAATACTTTTTGAGTAGACCTATAAAATGGCATTAAAAGTTAGTTGCAAATCTTTTACAGAACATTGCGGAACCAACCCAGCATTTTTTTGGGCTGTTGCGGTTTTTCTAGGCAAATTTACATCCAGTAATTTGCCATTGCTTTCTGGATGATCGGCTTTTTGATACCACTGTTGAAACCAGCGCAAGGCCTCGGATCTGGGATCGAACCCGGCATTACAAAGCTATGACATTACTGTGTGTGTTTGCTACTTTTGCGGTGTTGGCAGGGGTATATTTTAGCTGGAGGATTTAGGATTGGATGGCTAGTGCTTTCACCATGGACCGTTCCGGTTAGAATTGTAATCCCCCCCCCCCTTTCCCGGGCAGACAAAAATTCTCCTGCCCTGCAGTGGGTTCAAACATGGAGATACCGCATAGATGCACTGCATTCTTTACCATTCGACCAGCTGTCCTCATATATATCACCTGTAATCTTTGTAGGTTGCAATAAACTTGAGCACTAGACCAAAAAAAAACTCCCAGAAGTATGTATATTTAAACACAGTGTTTTCTTTTACAGGTCTGAAACAACCCAGCAAAGAAGACATACACAGTAAGAAGCGGGAGAAATATAAAATACGAGCAAACTCAGAGTCAAATATGCAAGTAGGTCAGCCTGCGTCTGCCATTACTAAGAAGCAAGGTTTGTTTACTAGCCTGTCACATGGAGACAACAAAGCATCACTGTCACTTTCACTCCCTCAGATGGATAATGTTCCTTTGCCAAGTCACACTAATTCCGGACTAAAATATTATAATTTGACCTCAGCAAAGCCGGATCCGAAATCATTCATGAAGTGTCGACCCCCAGCACCTCTACCCAGACCGGAGTCCCAATCTTCCGAGGATACGTTTTACTACACCAGCATTGATGCCAACAAAGACTTCTTCCATGAAACATACCAGTTCTTGAAAGCCAATGAGATGTGTGAGTGCGGACTTCGCATTTGTGATTCGGAACTGGCTTTAGGTTGGACCATTCATCGAAGCCAAGACCCGGCTACCCTCAACCACATCTTCTTTCAGCACGGAGAGAGCACCACCTGGGATATGCCGATTGAACTTGTGGACAAGTTAACCAATGAGCAGGCAATGTTTATTATCTATTTATGTCGGGAGGGGAAGCAGCGGGTGCCTGTGTGTTTAAGGGAAATGTTGGACAGAATGTTGGGGAGGACAACGGTGGATAGGAGGTAGCAATTTGGTTTATGTTATTTCTTCTCCGCTGCTGAGGAGGGGGATGGAGCATGTATGTGAATGTTCAGAGTGTACTGATGTCATTTCTTCTCTGACTCCTTTATCTTCCTCATTCATTCAACCTGTGGATCGTGACCCTTGTGGGGGTCGAATGATTCTTCACAGGGGTCATTACAAAAAGGCAATTTGCATTTTTTTTTTCAACGGGAGGCCGAACCAAACCGTTCTGTGTTCTCTTTCTCACCATAGTAATCCTGCCTTGCAGCAAGTGCAGTCCACTGATCCACAGGAGTGTGGATTTTTGCCAGGAAGCTTTTGGATGCACCGTTGACATCATCTCATTGTCATATGCAAATTTCTGACTGCAAATGGGCCGGTCAGATGAAAGTCTGATGGTTCCAAGTCTGGGCGTTATACTGTCTCCAAATTGAACCTTCATTCTTCAGTAGATTTAAGACCTCCTTGCTCGTCTATGATGCGTTTTTTTCTCTGCAGCCATCTTGTACGAGCTGTTGCTCATGCATATACGCTAAATCATCTGTGTCCTGAAGTGTTTGTTTTTTCTGCATACTGCTTCATATGATTGCCTTTACTTAATGACTTCCCCTTATATAAATGAAAAGAGTTTTTGATGGAAATAAAACCGTCTGCAGCTGGGATCGAACCCGGCATTATGAACTATGCATACACAGATTAAAATATTGTGTTTTATGTTCAATTCTTATAACAGTTTGAATGTAAATAGTGTTGAAAAATATAAATTTGACTCAGTTGTAAGTCAAGGAGAGCCTGTATTTGGATATTGTGTGAAAGTGAAAGCTGTTTTCAGTTCATCTTCTTGCACTTGCTTCAAGCAGAAGCCACTCTTGCCTGTGATACTAAAGGTTTCTGTGATTGCACATTTAGATTTTTTTCTTGATTTGTTAGCTTTTTTTTTAATTGTTGAATTGATTGTCAAACTTTGAAATTTTCCACTTAAAATTTGGGTTAGTTGCGTATCCTTTACAGGACGTTGCAGAACCAACCCCAGCAGCCCCTGGCTGTTGTGTGGTTTTTCTAGGCAAATTTACATCCAGTAGTTTGTCATTGCTTTCTGGGCGGTCGGCTTTCTTGATACCACTGTCGAAACCAACGCAAGGCGCATGGCCCTCAGCTGGGATCGAACCAGGCATTATGAAGCGTTCACATTGACTTAGCCACAGAGCCGACACTTAAAATTGATGGTCTTGATTTTCAGACTTTGATATTTAGCATTTAAAATTGATTTATTTGGGGTGAGATTTAAAAAACAGCTCATGCAGTTCCATGAAATTAATTTTTGAAAAAAATTCATGTGTGACTTGGTTTTGACTATGTATAACAAACAATGAATGGCCTAGCAGGTTTTTGGTCAAATCGTACTATAGAAATCTGGCTCGCTATTCAAATGCCCAACTCAGATGTGTTTGCTGCATCTGTGACGGTTACACTGTCACCCTATGTTTATGTTTATTGTGATTATTGATACCTTGGAAAGGTCCAGTTTAATATCTTAGTGTTTAACGAGTTAAAGTTAAAATTGCTCTTCTTGATTTTCACATTTTGATTTTTAGCATTTAAAATTAACTTCTTTGTGGTCAAGTTTGAAGTTTAAAAAAAAAATTCCAAATTCCAGATTTTTAAAAAATTTAAAAAAGTTCACTTAAATGTTTTGCACCACTTGATAGTGAATTGATATATGACAAGCTAATTAAAATGTTGTGAGGGCCCTTTAGGAGCGAGTAAACAGTGCGGAAGCGCAAATAGATCATTATGATCTGAAGAGAATGGGGCTGCGAGGAGTTACCAGGGGATCTAGCAGACGCTCAACACTCAAGGAAAGGGTGAGACCGATATACACTCAGACACTTACTGGTGCTATCAGGGTTGGAACTCTTTGTTTGCTGCTGAAGATAGGGACAGAGCACTTATGGGGTTGTCCTCAGGGATATGATGTCGATTCTTAATTCAACATTCAAGTTTTAAATTTGGCTACTTAAAATTAATGTTTATTAATTGTCAAACGTTAACTTTTGACTACTTTAATTAATGATTTTGATTGTTACATTTAATATTTATGTTGCCTGTAAGATTGCTTGTATGGATAAAGATTGCAATGATTGCGAACACAAATAAAGATTCCCATGAATGCTAACATATCGGCTTTAAAATTTTACCTATACGGCTACGGACCCTTTTCACACCTGGCATATAGTGGTAGATCTGTATTTTAATAGCCCAGTTGATGCTCGATGAGTGATGTTGTCAGCATCACCTTGGCTGCCTTTATTTCCCAGGACATTACCTGATATCCATTTCAGGCTGGGTCGACCTAGCAGCATTCAAGTGGGGTAAACTTTACATTTCCTATGATTATTGTCAGGGTCCTATGTGGCTATGGGATGATTGCAAATGATGATTAATAGTGAACTTGTGACTGAACAAAGGCGATGAAGCACCGAGTTTTCCCCAAGAGTTTTGTTTAGTATTGAGCAGTGCAGGAGTTGATCGGGAGTTGGAGAGAGACGACTTGGGGGACAGGACCAGGACGTTGTTTTGACCGCTAGATGTTTTTATGTTTTGACTGATGTTAGCGACAGGTAGCCTCATGTTAGGGTGTTAGCGTGACGGTAGAATGAATCATGTGTTAGTCTGTGTTAGAAAGAGGTAGGTTATTACGGGTATTTATAATAGTATTCATTTATGTATTTAGTTAGACGTTAGCGAGGCGGTCCTTGAAGGGTTGATCTGGTTAGGTAACATGGTCTGTCCACTCACACTTTTCAAAGATGCTCAGTAGCACTGCAATCCAAGTGTAAGGCGCAGTAGCATCGGAAAGAGCTTTGAGTGAGTCTGTTGGCTCGGGTCCTGGTCACAGCCGTAAGGCTGGTACGGTACTGTAGGGGCAGGTGATTGACTGGGTTGGTAACGCAAACCACTTTTGCCCAAGTGAACTGCCGCATTGATTATTGGGAACTGCATTGAAGATTGGTGTGTATGCTCTCACTGTGTTAGTCGATTGTGTTTAGGAATAGACCTTTTTCTGCCATGGATGTGCCAACAAGCTTTATTGTCCTGACGGCAGTGAAGTAGGTTCTGACAATTATCATAAATTCAGAATTGGAGACACAAGGCGTCTTTCATTTATTATTGACTAATGTTAATTATCAGATGTTGTTAAGTTCTTTTCGCTGGTTATTTAGTTATGTAAAATGTCAGACACAAAGTGCCTTTCATTGATTATTCATCATCATCATCATCATCCCGTAACACTACATGTCGTTGGGTCACCAGTTTCTGTTGACTGTCTGATCAGTTCTCTCCAACTTTGGTGGTCAGTTGCGATTGACTTCATGGTTGCATGCTTGAAGCCTGTCCAGTCATTCACGTTCTTTAACTAGGTCTTTCTTGGTCTGCCTCTTCTCCTCTTTTCCTCTAGTGAGCCCTGCACTATTGTTTTCGAGAGGCTGGATCTTATTACATGTCCATACCTTTGTGTTTTTCACTTTTCTTTGTAGTTAAAAGAGATTCATAGTAGCCAATGCATTGATTATCGAGTGTAAAATGTCAGATGTAAAGTGCCTTTTAGTGATTATTGAGTACTGTAAAATGTCAGATGTAAAGTGCTTTTCATTGATTATTGAGTAATGTAAAATTTCCGACATAAAGTACTTTTCAGTGATTATTTAGTATTGTACAATTTCAGCCATTCTCACATATGCTCCATCCTCCAATGCAGCAGCGATCTGAATGTTTTTCTGCATATATTTATATATTCTGAGAAAGAAAGATGTAGGACAGAGAAGTGTGTTTCTCCAGGTCAAAGTCTCTTTATCACGAGAGGTTCTGGCAGATGCTCGTGGCTCAGAGGAAAGGCAAGAGGGACATTTAATCAGAATGCTGCTGGCACCATTAGTATCGAAACTCTTTGCTGGCTGCTGAAGATAGGGAAGGAGCGCTTGTGAGCATGCCCCAAATGCTGCAATATGGGTTCTGGAATCAACTCATCTCTGCTTAGTTTAGAAATAGATTAAAAATTTTCCAGTTATTTGTTCCCCAAAAATTGATCTGACACATTTCCTGTGTTTCATGTTTTCCTCAAGAGGGTGAGCTTCTGCTTTGTGTTCACCGGCTGTGACTTGCGGCCCACAGTCCCGCTTGTTTGCCCATTTGGACTTTTGCCTTTGTACCAGGACCTGAGTTTTGCGTGTACATCCGCTTTACTAGCTTATCTGTATGCAGTTCCTGATCCCTGCCTTTTGGGCATAGGTACTCCGACTTCAAGGAAACCTACTCTATGATAAAGCGGATGTGGGGAAGGCTCTATGGTATCAAGTGGACAATGCAAAAGAACAGACGAAGAATCCATACAGTGCAAAGGGATTTGGGGGAGGGGGGGTTGAGGTTCTGGAAGATATTCAACACTGGAAGGGAAATTGAGGCGGTCTTTCAACCCGGTTGCTGCTGGAACTATTAGCATTTCAACTCTTTGTTGGCTACTTAAGAAGGGGATGGAGCACATGTGGGAATGTCTCAAGTGCATTCTTGATTCATTCTTTCATTCATTCTATGTTTCAGACATGATCACGTCAAAACAGTGGAGCTGTACAGAATTTGGTGCTAATTTTTAAGTTTTTTTAATGGAAAATTATAATAAAGGTTTGTAGAATTTGCTGCTAAAAATGCTTTGTTGTCTCTACAATTATCATCTAACAGTAAAAACAAGAAGTTCAAAGTTTCTGGTGAACTGTTTTAACTTCAAACTACTTTTGACAGAATACAGCAGAACCAGCACCAGCAATTGTTTGGCCTGTTTGGTTTTAGTAAGCACTTTTACATTTACTAGTTTGCCATTGCTTTCTAAATGGCCGGCTCTCTACACTCTGTCAAAATCAACACAAGGCGATCTGCTATCAAATCGCTTGCACCTGGGATCGAACCGAATACCACCCCTCGTCATAAAAGATGACTAATTAAGTGCT